AAACATTACATCCAGAAATAAGAGACAAAGAGAGACCTTGGAAATTAAAAATGTTGTTTGGTTATAGAAAAAGCTCAGTGCTTTGGCTAAACAGCAAAATGGGTCATTGAAGAGCCAGTGGTAACCTGGAAGACAAAGGTGAGGGATTCTCCCCGAACCCAGTGCAAATAGACAAGCAGATAGAAAATATAAAGGAATACTGGAGGGTCAAGGAAGAAGGGTGCAGATATTTCTATATCCATCTAAGAAGCGTTCTAGAAGAAAAAGGAGTAAATGGAAGAGAAGAAATGAAGACAATTTTCTGTTAAAAAAACCCTCAAAACCATAAAATTAAAAATAAAACCCAAGGATCCTGAAAGTGAAATATCCCACCCAATTTCCAAGTGTACATATCATGTGAATGTTAGACTTGACTAGCCAGTCAACAAGCCACGTATAATCCAAATAGAACTTTGTAGCCATCAGAGGAGACAGAAACACACACAGACACACAGACACACAGATGTAGTGCCTGTAAAACTGGTAAAATCTGAAGTTCTGTGGATTCTACCACTATCAATCTCCTGGTTGTGATATTGGCAGTAGGAAGAATTTTAAGATGATCCCATTGACTCTCACTCTTGTGTAATCCCCTGTGTGGGCAGAACCTGTGAATATAACGCAGTTTCATTCTCATAATTATTTTAAGTTATATGGAAAAGGGGGTTTCCCATATTGAATTAAGGCCCCAAGCCAATTGACCTTAAGATGTGGAGATTGCCTTTCAGCCACGTGGTTGCAGAGCACAAGCCCTCATCAAACCCTGAACCTGCCCCACCTTGATCTTGGACTTCTCCAGAATTGCGAGACATAAATGTTGTTAATAAGCAAGCAACAAAAAAAGATACGGAGATTATCCTGCGTGGGTCAGGTTTAGTCATGTGATACCTTAAAAAAGGGACTGGACTCTTGCTGGTGGTGAGAGAGATCACGAGATGTGAGAGGAACTCCATCACTGGCTTTGGAGCTGGAGGAGACAACATGGCAAGGAAAGCAGCAATACCTGGAAGCTAAGAATGGCCCCTGGCTGACGGCCAGCAAGGGAGCAGGGATCTCAGTCCTACAGCCGCAAGGAACTGAATTCTGCCACAACCACATAGGCTTGAAATAGGACCCTGGGGCTCAGGTGAGAGTGCAGGACAGTCAACCTTGGTTTTAGCCTGTGAGACTCTGAACAGAGAACTCAGCCACATGTGCCCAGGCTCCTAACCTACAGAACAGGGACTTGGTAAATGCATGTTGTTTTAAGCCACCACATTTATGGTAATTTGCTACAGAGCAATAGGAAACTAATACACTGTTCACTGTAGCTATGCCAGATGCCATCATCAGGGACAAGTGGGGGAAGGAGACACAGACTGTCTCTTTTCTATTTTCTATTACAAATTTTTTATGGATCTATAATTACTTCAAAATTAAAAGTTTGTTTTTTCACAAAAAAGTGTTAAAAACAGAAATTGCACATTCTTTTCAAATACATGCTGAACAGTTACCAAAAGTGACCATGTGTTATGCCACAAGGACATTTTAAAATTTTCAGAAATCATACAGGTCTTAATCCCTGACCACGATGCAGAAATTAATCAATTAATAAAACATGGGCAATAAAAAACAACAACAAAATATAAATTAGAAAATACACTTCTTAATGATTCTTAGATTAAAAAAGAAGACAATGACAGGCTACTTCAAAACGAGCGATAATGGGAGGCCCACGATGTAGCCACAAAGTCGCATTTGAAAGGAACAGTTTTGCCTACATTTACAAGACAAGAAAGGCTGCAAAGAACTGAGTTATGCTTTCACCTCAAGAAGCTAGAAAAGAAATCAAAGCAAGCCCAAGAATGGAATTAGTAAACATAAAAGCATAAATTATCAAGATCAAAAGCTAACAGCAACAAAATATAGATGTGGTGAACAGAGCAAAGACAGGTGAGCAGCATTCAACATGTTGAAAGGACAGGACTTAACCTTAAAGCATTAAAGAGAATATATTAAAACACCAAAAATTTAAAAATCCATATAAAACAGATGACTTCCTCTAAAAAATGTCCAAAACTAGAGAAAAAAAGAAATAGCAGCACCTTGCAGGCCGAATTCCATAAAATATATTGAAAGGATGTTCAAGGATCTGTGCCTGAAAACAACAACAGGTCCAGGAGATTTTATGGCAAATTCTATAGACATTTGCAATTTATATAAACAGTGTCAAAGCATAGTAAAAACAGATTTAAAAATCCTAAACTATTTGCATGTCAAATCTTGGATTTATCAAAAGAATAATACATCATAACCAACAACAATTGGTCCTAAGAATGCTAAAAGAGCTCAACACTAGAAAAATCCATTAATATATGTTACTACATTAATGGTTTAATATAGAAATTTATGATTATCTCAACAAATGCCAAAATATCACTTGCTATAATGTCACCTCATACATTAACAATAAGAACTACAAAACTCTTTGACTTACCTAATAACCTCAAAGGAGGCACTAAGCAAGGCATGAAATCCAGAAGCCATTAAACAGAACATTCATACATTTTACTGCATTAAAATACATGCAGGGCCAAAATACAGTATACACCACAATCCAGTACAAGGTGTTAACAACAGGGGAAACTGGGTGGGCGGGGATCCAGAGAGAGTGGCTATATAGTAATTGTCTGCTTTCCATTCCGTTTTTTTGTAAACCTAAAACTGCTCTAAGAAATAAAGTCTAATAACTTTAAAAGTTCATATATGTATATATAGACATATATCCACATTGTGTCTCTATATATGTCTGTATATTAACAAAGAGAAACAAACAAAAAAACAAACTACATACTACACTCGCAACACATCGTTCTCACACTGTTCCGGAAAAAACAGCTCGTTGTTAACACCTCAGTTGTGACAGCAACCTGCATCCGGCAGAGAAACCAACCACCACTCGAACAGTTGGGGAACTCAGGTTAACTACGCCAACGGGCCCAGAAAACTCAACACTTCAAGCTTCCAACCCCGTCTGTAGGTTTACACAGGCCTTTTATAGGCTGCTAGTTTTACACTTTGCAACATCATATGCAAATAAAGTACAACAGAAGTTGACCAACCAGGAACAAGCTCTGTAGAAATAGACCAATCAGGAGTGAGCTCCATGCAAATGAAGTACTACAAATGGACCAATCAGAAGTTAGGGAAGTGGACCAATCACAAGTGAGAGTAATAACCAATCAGAAGTGAGCTCAGGGAACCAATAGAATTCTAGGTGTAAGTTAGCCGCTTTAGAGGCAAAAAGTGAGATAAAGGCTCTGGGCCAGGGAACCGGACGGTGCTTGGAGGAGAGCAGCGGCTCTCCCTAGGGGTCCTGCCGGTCTTTTTATGGGGCTTCCCGCCTCAATATCTTGTTAGTAAAACTGTGAGCTGGAGCGTGGTCTCTTTTAGAAAATTTGACAGTGTGAATGAAAATTTAAACTCCAAATACTCTGTAGTTGAACAAATGTATTTTTATGAGTTTCACATACAGAAATACTCATAGATGAATGCAAATATTTATCTGTAAATGGTTTTATTCCAGATTATATATAGTAGGGAAAAACTGAAAACTGCCTAAATGGCCATCAAAAGATTACAGGGACGATGACACTGCCGTGTAATGAAACACCAGGCAGCCATGTTTGTGAAGAA